CTGACTACAGAGCTGCTGGTCATTGAGAACCTCATCCTCATTACAGACATGTTGCTGAGGGAGCTCTGGAGGGACAGAAAATAAACAAAGTACTGTTAGTGTGGTGTTAGGGAAGCAAATTGCATTCAATGCATGTTTTGTGTATTTGTGATCTGTTGTTGGAGATCTGAATGTGAATTAATAAACAGAAAATAGCTAACGAGAGGCTTTAACCATAATGAATCCCATTCAGATTGTTTTAGAATTTGTAAGAACTTGATAGGAAACTAGAAAATTCAGAGAAATGTTGACTGTGTGACTGAAACTTGGGTGCGCATCCCAATGCTAACATTACCCCCGCTGAGTAAGTGTTAATAGCATTAGGTTGTATTGTTAAGGTACAACAAAGAATATCCATTAATTTTAGCTGACTATTTTAAATGTTTATCTATTACATTTTTGGATTCTTGTACCACATTCTTGCATCGTTCCTGAACATCTTTAGATTACCACTGGATTTAGTTAACGACGACAGGTGTGTTCAAAGATCAAAACGTTTCCACGGCAACGCCCTGGCAGTGAACGAGAGACAGCCTCTCAGAGAATGTATTCACAATATTGTGTTGCATTATTGCATCTAAGTAAAAAAACTCCAATCAGCTAAATATCCTACCCAGAATATTTAGGATACCAGATGAACACCCGATGGCTCTCGGGTTTGCTATATGTTTAAGTCCGTTTGATTAAATGAGCATATCGGTGCGGCCGGGACAAATATCCCTACATTGTGATTACCAAAGTATGAAGAGTGAAAATTGTGGCCAGCCGAGCAATAGTTGGAAAAAAAACTGAATATTTTCCAGCTCCTCTCCCCTTTAGCCATGATGTCACCACTCTAAGTATTAACGAGCTCTCCCATACACACCCATTATAAAATGTGATAGTGTGAAATGTCCACAAAACATACTAGCTATCAAAAATATCCAAATAGTCTAATAAAGTCCATAGTCTGGAAAACCGTTTCAACTTGTAATTGTTGTCCTACGTTAAAGTATGCAGAATCTGTATGGGGTCAAAGGAGTGTTTTTGAGCTCTGTTCAAATGGATTTCCCATTCATTCCTATGGAGCAAATGATTGCAGTTTTCTGTGAATTTGCATGAAAACGGCTAGGCGAATCTCTTATAAAAGACATAGCAACCCAATCCCGGTCACTCCGCACGTTTTGATGAGTTTTTGTGTTTCGTGTCAACGCTGCCGGACGAGTAGCATGACAACATTTGTGGTGGAAGAAGCAGAATAAGATGAGACTAGAAAATGCATTTCCTGCTGAAAATGCATTTCCTGCTGAAAATGCTTGCGAATGCTGTAAGCCCTGTACATTTGTTGCTGAATTTAGCTGAAAAGGCAGAAAAAGCTGAATATTGTAATAGTTGAATGGTGTCTGTAGAGCTTTTAGCGGCAGAAACCATGTAAGGTTGTTGCTGAACCTAGAGGAAAAAAAAATGCAGAAAAGTTATAAGATTTGAATAAAAAGTCTTACAGCTCAAACTGCCCTGACTGTTGAAAAACTATAATGTGAAATGTAAAACTGGCAGATTAGGACAAATAGTGAAGAAGCTTAATATTTAAAAAGGTTTTAAAAAAATGGTATAAACAACAAAATGTATAGCCTCAATGTCCTGAAATAGCTGAATAATTTAATAGTTGAATGGTTTCTGCAGCTGAAAGTAGGCTGAAGGAGTTAGATATCAGATGTACACTGCAACACATTTTCCTGTCAAATAACAGTAAAGTGCTGGCAGCACAGACGCCAGCAATTTAATGTAATACTACAGTACTCATACTGTGAAATGACTTTACAGCCTCTCACTGTAAAAATAAAATACAGTATACTGCTGTATCTTTTCAATTAACAGTAAAATACTGGCAGCAGAGACGCCAGCAATAAACTGAAATTCTACAGTATTCATATTGTTGAACAATTTCAGTTTATTACTGTAGAACATTTAATGATTCACAGTAACATTCTGGTTAGGGGGTTGCCAGTAGATTACTTGATTGATAATACAACAACTCAATTTAGCAGTTTAGAATACCTAAAAATCCATTATTAATTAAATTAACATAAAATATGTATTGTTCAGTTGGCTACAGACATCCGCTTAAAATATGCATTATTATGAAAATAATGCAAAATAAGCAATAAACAATTTGGAAAGGATTTAATGCAAACACACTTTTATTTAAAAAGGCAGTGGCAACATAAATTCTGCTACTGTAAAAAAAAGAAAAGAAGCGGTTGGAAGACCCAGAGAAACAAGTAGGGATGTAACGAGAACCAATACTTTGAGACTAGCGGTGTGGCGTCTCGTAGAAAATGTGTTGGAAATGCAGTAAACTCACTATTGACACGTCCAGGGGACGCACCCTATTTTTTCCCCCAGTGTTGAAATAGGCAGGACGAGAGCTAATGTTAGCTGTTAGCAGTTAGCAGCCGGTAAGCAGCACAGTCCTGCAGAGCTAACAGCCAACGTTAATCATTGGGTTACATTATGATGTGTTCAATAAAAATGAGTATTGGGCGAAGGTAAATTCTAACGTTATCATGTGTTCAAATGTAATCATGTAAAATGTACTTTTTGAGGAGAAACTTGAATAAATACAGCTGTTTGAATGAGATGTTTTCACAGCAATATAACATAGATAATAGAGAGGGAATTATGACCTGTTTAACTTCCTGAAAAAAAACAGTATGCAAACGGTAATTAAAGGAGTGTATGTTGAAGTACATGGTTATCTATGGTTTTGTTTTTGTTTTTTACAGTGGTATCTAAATTTGGTATTGAGAATCGTGGAAATTCACTATTGGTATCGACTACTACATTTCTGGTATCGTGACAACCCTAGAAACAAGCTAAAGACATGTAGAGCAGCTAAATTAAACTGCCTAAAAGTGAAACAATGGCAATAAACTGAAATTATTACATTGCATGTCAGAGACTGCACCTTACCAAACGTGAAAACACCTGAGACATCAGTTGTAACTCCTTCCAAATTATTGTTATATGTGACTTGTCTTACCAAACTTGTACTTGACCTGGGATCAAACAATTTGGCGGAATACCAAGGCAACTAATACAGAGGACATAAGTGTTTAACCTATAAATAATCCTGTGAGGTTTATGTTCTCTCAAAAAGCAGTTTAAAATATCTAAATTTACTGCAATATTGTATTCTCTGCTGTCTGTGAAAATATGCATCAGTAAGACCATTTTTGAACAAATGCATTATAAGCAACATTTAGAAAACACACTGTACTATTAAGAACATTTTGAAAATATACATCAGTAAGAACATTTTTTAAATGTGCATTAAGACCATTTTGAAAATATGCATCATTAGCAACATTTGGAAAATATGCATCATTAAGACCATTTAGAAAATATGCACCAGTAGAAAAATGTGGGGCTTGTGTTTTGCCTCTTGAAATAGTCCTGTGAGGTAGGTGCATGCTTAACTTCAGGAAGATTCTGGGTGGGTGTGGACAGTCCTGATACAAAGAGGAATCTTCTAGTTCAGGTAAAGATGACCATCACCTTGCTGGTCCTTGTTCCTGTCCTTACCAGTGTTGCCACTGTAAAACAGCAACAAACGAAATAATTAATCAAAAATAACTCTAGAATCGGGAATGTACAATAGCAATGCTTATAAAGATGGTAATACCAAAGTGTCTTGTGGCATAATGTGGCAACGTCAGTCTGTCAAAACAACACATGGAGTGAGAGACGAGAGAGAGCTCACTGGCATAATGTGGCAACGTCAGTCCGATTCAAAGTCAAGGAGGTTCTTCAGTAGTGTGGAGACGTGTGTGTTGACTGTGGCAGACTTCTTCTGGACGATCACAGCCGTCTTCTTGGAGACAACCTTGCCCCGGATGGCCTTTGTTCCTCTCTCTGGGTTGATACCAATGAAGCGCCTGAAATCAGAAATGTTTTAAGATCAGAGACTGAATGGAAAACTATTAGGAACACTTTTTTGTCTTAAATGGGTAGTTTGGGTTTTATTCCATAAGGTGATATGAGTTACTAACCGGTACTGACATGAGCTATTTAGTGCAATTCCGCTGCTTGATTTTTCCTATCAGACCCTACTATATCTTGGAACTATTTCATTTGTTGAAAATTGCCAGTGTATTACTACGCACTGGAGCCAGTTCACATATTACGCCTATATTCAAGCTTATTGGCGGCTTGATATGGGAATCAGCTCCACTGAATAGTAATACACGTAATTAACAAAGAAAATATTTTCAA